AACGCTGAGTACAGATGGTGTGTATTAATACTTCTCCTCAGTAACGCAGAGTACAGATGTGTGTATTAATACTTCTCCTCAGTAACGCAGAGTACAGATGTGTGTATTAATACTTCTCCTCAGTAACGCAGAGTACAGATGTGTGTATTAATACTTCTCCTCAGTAACGCTGAGTACAGATGTGTGTATTAATACTTCTCCTCAGTAACGCTGAGTACAGATGGTGTGTATTAATACTACTCAGTAACGCAGAGTACAGATGGTGTGTATTAATACTTCTCCTCAGTAACGCTGAGTACAGATGTGTGTATTAATACTACTCAGTAACGCTGAGTACAGATGGTGTGTATTAATACTACTCAGTAACGCAGAGTACAGATGGTGTGTATTAATACTACTCAGTAACGCAGAGTACAGATGGTGTGTATTAATACTACTCAGTAACGCAGAGTACAGATGGTGTGTATTAATACTTCTCCTCAGTAACGCAGAGTACAGATGGTGTGTATTAATACTTCTCCTCAGTAACGCAGAGTACAGATGTGTGTATTAATACTTCTCCTCAGTAACGCAGAGTACAGATGTGTGTATTAATACTTCTCCTCAGTAACGCAGAGTACAGATGTGTGTATTAATACTTCTCCTCAGTAACGCAGAGTACAGATGTGTGTATTAATACTTCTCCTCAGTAACGCTGAGTACAGATGTGTGTATTAATACTTGTCCTCAGTAACGCAGAGTACAGATGTGTGTATTAATACTTCTCCTCAGTAACGCTGAGTACAGATGTGTGTATTAATACTTCTCCTCAGTAACGCAGAGTACAGATGTGTGTATTAATACTTCTCCTCAGTAACGCAGAGTACAGATGTGTGTATTAATACTACTCCTCAGTAACGCAGAGTACAGATGTGTGTATTAATACTACTCCTCAGTAACGCAGAGTACAGATGTGTGTATTAATACTACTCCTCAGTAACGCAGAGTACAGATGTGTGTATTAATACTACTCCTCAGTAACGCAGAGTACAGATGTGTGTATTAATACTTCTCCTCAGTAACGCAGAGTACAGATGTGTGTATTAATACTTCTCCTCAGTAACGCAGAGTACAGATGTGTGTATTAATACTTCTCCTCAGTAACGCAGAGTACAGATGTGTGTATTAATACTTCTCCTCAGTAACGCAGAGTACAGATGTGTGTATTAATACTTCTCCTCAGTAACGCTGAGTACAGATGTGTGTATTAATACTTCTCCTCAGTAACGCTGAGTACAGATGTGTGTATTAATACTACTCCTCAGTAACGCAGAGTACAGATGTGTGTATTAATACTACTCCTCAGTAACGCAGAGTACAGATGTGTGTATTAATACTACTCCTCAGTAACGCAGAGTACAGATGTGTGTATTAATACTACTCCTCAGTAACGCAGAGTACAGATGTGTGTATTAATACTACTCCTCAGTAACGCAGAGTACAGATGTGTGTATTAATACTACTCCTCAGTAACGCAGAGTACAGATGTGTGTATTAATACTACTCCTCAGTAACGCAGAGTACAGATGTGTGTATTAATACTACTCCTCAGTAACGCAGAGTACAGATGTGTGTATTAATACTACTCCTCAGTAACGCAGAGTACAGATGTGTGTATTAATACTACTCCTCAGTAACGCAGAGTACAGATGTGTGTATTAATACTACTCCTCAGTAACGCAGAGTACAGATGTGTGTATTAATACTACTCCTCAGTAACGCAGAGTACAGATGTGTGTAGTAATACTACTCCTCAGTAACGCAGAGTACAGATGTGTGTAGTAATACTACTCCTCAGTAACGCAGAGTACAGATGTGTGTAGTAATACTACTCCTCAGTAACGCAGAGTACAGATGTGTGTAGTAATACTACTCCTCAGTAACGCAGAGTACAGATGTGTGTAGTAATACTACTCCTCAGTAACGCAGAGTACAGATGTGTGTAGTAATACTACTCCTCAGTAACGCAGAGTACAGATGTGTGTAGTAATACTACTCCTCAGTAACGCAGAGTACAGATGTGTGTAGTAATACTACTCCTCAGTAACGCAGAGTACAGATGTGTGTAGTAATACTTCTCCTCAGTAACGCAGAGTACAGATGTGTGTAGTAATACTTCTCCTCAGTAACGCAGAGTACAGATGTGTGTAGTAATACTTCTCCTCAGTAACGCAGAGTACAGATGTGTGTAGTAATACTTCTCCTCAGTAACGCAGAGTACAGATGTGTGTAGTAATACTTCTCCTCAGTAACGCAGAGTACAGATGGTGTGTAGTAATACTTGTCCTCAGTAACGCAGAGTACAGATGTGTGTATTAATACTTCTCCCTCGGTATTCTACTTTTACTTGAGCAGGTTTGTCTTTTTTTTCTTTTACTTGAATGAATGTTTTTGGGAGTAACTGCACTTTTTCTTGAGCACCCCCCCCCCCCCCCCAGCCCCAGCACTAGGCTGGTGAGCATGAGCCAGGCAGCACAGAGCAATAGATGAGGGGAACAAAGTCACAGCACCAGTTTATGGTAAGTATGATGGTGATACAACTTATTTATTTAACTAACTCAAAGGCTCAGCTGAGCTGATTTATGTACTTTAGGAGAGTTTTGAGTAGTTTTGAAAATTTCTCAATGGCTCATTTAGCTCTAGGAATAGAGACCCTGACAAATGGACATGTCTGGAGAGTGGGCTGACCAGGGACAAAGTCCTGGGCCTCTTCTCTTCCCCTGACCATCCCTGACCTTAAAAACTTGTGTCCTGAGGTGTGCGTGTCTCTGCTACGTGTCCATGAACAACCTGAAAAGGTTCATCCTGCAGTATTTGAAGAGGACAGAGGAGTAGAGAAAACTGAGGAGGACGAGTTTGTAAGTTAAATGGACAGTTAGTAAACATGCTGTCTAGTACCTTCTAAAATTCACACAGTAAAATGACTTTGTTAGGCCAGTGGCAAGTCCGAGTTTGCACTGAAGCCAGTTCTGGGTTCATAAACGTGTTGTTTTCTAGATGTGAGATGAAGTGACAGAACAGGGAGAGTCAGGACCAAGTGAGACGCTTCTAATAGAAACAGCTCACAAGTGTAACATTAGGATAACTCTAGCTACATTAACTAGCAGCGGTTTTTATGGTAGCTCAGTTTTTACTCCCAGTTCACTAAGCGTTAGGACCGTATAGGCGGTGGGCCGAGGCCGCGGATCTGCTCTATTGTTAGAAAGTAATGATTTTTAAAGTGGTGAACATTGTTTTATTCTTAATCAGATTCCGTTTGTTGCCACTTAAAATTCTTGCATTTTCCCAAAATCACACTTCAAAGTTCGTTAAATTTACCAGCAAACACAGCAGCCTACTCTCTAGCAGATGAACCAATAGCAAGCTGATACTGCGAAGTCACCGACCAATAGATTTAGCCGCATTGAGCACCGCTGTTGACACAATGAAAAACGGCATGGAAGCAGAATATCTCATAGATCTCCAATATGCTAGCTGGAGCTCACGTTTCTCACTGAACAACAGAAAGTAAGAAAGTGGTAGCTCTGTAAGAGGAACTGAAAGAGAAGAGGAGGCATTACAGCTGTTCATTTGTTACGAGTGTTTATTATAAAATTGGTTAAGACTACACTTCATCACTTCAAGCTACACTTTTTATTACATTTTGTCTAAAAATTAGGCACTTTAATTTAGTTAATTTAGAATTTATTATTTGAATAGTTATTATTTATTATCCTTCCAGTTTGGTGAATCAAATATTATTTGATTTGACAGTCCGTTGTTGACTAAAAACATGTGTTGATACAACTATAGGTTATAGTGCTGAATGATAACGTTCGTCGTTTTGATGTTCCGGACCTTTGCTTCAGGAAATTTTCTCTAACTAGACCTCTTTGAAATGTAATTGAATACCCCTGCTATAGAACCACTGCTTCAAAGCTTGCTCTGGTGCGAAAGAAAATCACGTGACGTCCGAAGCAGCGAGTGCTTCATTGCCTGAATGAATCATCTGGCTGGTCCAATCAGGTGATTAACTGGAACTGCGGCGTGCCGATTCTGGCAGGTGATAGGTTGAGACAGTTTTGAGTTTGAGCGCCTCGAGTCTTTATTTGTGGGAACACTTCAATCTGATCGCTGCTGATAAGGTGGGTGCTCTGGCTGTTGAATATATATATTTACAAGAGTCACTACAGTAGCCTTCTATAGCTACATAGCATAGCATTAAAAGGATGTAAAGGATTAGTGTGGCCATCAGCTATATCTTTATAGACTCTATTTAGACTATTTATATTTACAAATTGCTTTCTTTACAGGTGCAGTGCTTGGTTTGTTCAACCGAGCTGAAGTATCATGGGAATACTTCCTCCATGATTAGGCGCTTCACTGCCAAGCATGGAGCTGCTAATAACCATGGGAACACTAATGAAGGTAGGCTTGTATTATATGTATTATATTACATTTACACAATATATGATACTGTATTCCATCAATCATATTTAAATGCATTATTTTCTTTTATTAAAATAATTTTAATTTCGAGAGCTAGATGAAGCTCTTGTGAATATGGTGGCGAAGGACTCGCAGCCCTTTTCCATCGTGGATGACTCTGTGAAGCTGGCCTTCAGTCCGGTGTCTGAAGATAGAAATGGCTCATTCTAAGGTAATAAAAAGGTAACGGTTCATTATGTCAGGTCTTTATACACCACTGAGAACATAGTTATGGAGCTTATATTGCATTTCTGTCACTAGATCCTCAGAAATAGCACACACTGGTCCTTTAAGCAGTTATTTTATGGTCCCTCTCCTTGGTGCAGTCATTTCTTCTACACATTAACCTGTGTAGTAGCACATTGTGGCATAGTTTCTTTGCTCTTGCTGCTCTTCTGTTAAACCTAGTGAAAACTAAAGACCATGGTCTCTGTGAGAACTCATTGTTTTGTAGTTAGTTAGTTAGGAATTAAAATAAACTAAGGAAGTCAGAGTTTTGTTGATATATTTAACATTTAGTTTAATTCTTTTAATTCATCATTATTAGAAGTGTCCTGTTTTCACTTGAGCCCCCGTCCTCCAAAATGTCTGAGCATGTCCCTTTGTACATGTCTTAGCTAGTGTGTCCTTGGCGGTCGTGTTTACCTTGATTGACTGTTAAATGTACACCCAGTGTTCTGTCATGTGTCTCCTCAGTGAGTCTGACACAAGCCAAGTTCCTGTCAACTCTTTTATTGGATGACTAGTTACATGAGGTGTGTACGGTTAGGGGTTAGTTCCGTGTGTCTGTGTGAAAACTACATCCTCTTGTGGACGCACAGCTGAACATTGCATTTGCTGCAGAAGTGGTGAGCGTCTTTGCAGCTGTCCATGAAGAAAGGGATGATACAGCAGCCGAACACCATCCTGAGAGAGGGAGAGGGAGAGAGGGGGAAAAGTTTGTTGACGAGTTTGGCTCAAACAAACAGCCAGGTGAACGCTGTGAAACACCGGTCTGGTGTCTGTGTGTTACCCAAACACGACGCAGAGTCCGCAGATCAGCCAGGCGAAGGCGCCGCTGTGATACACCACTCTGGTTTGGACCCGCTCTCCGCAGTGCTGACACGTGGTCATGGTGGGGACGTCACCCAGGTCACCAGAACCAATCACAACCTGGGCTGAAGCACACGACATTGCACACGCTCACACACAAGATAGTATATAAGAAGAAGACACTTTATTGTCACATACAAGTTGCAAAATTCATTCTCCGCATTAAATCCATCCCTCAAGGGAGCAGTGAGCAGCCGCTGTGCAGCGCCCGGGGACACACTCCAGATCTTTATAGCACTGACTGGAGAATCTAACAGGTTTTTGAAGGGGGGGGAAATAAAAACTCCTGGGGATTGAACCCATGACCTTCTTACTGTGAGGCCACAGTGCAATCCACTGGACCACCCATCAACTTTCATAATAATAATAATAATCATCATCTTTATTTGTAGAGCACTTTTCAAAAACAAGTTACAAAGTGCTTTAACAAGTGTAAAGACAATAATACCCAAGAGACAATAATACAAAAATAATACAAGATAAAAGCATGAAAACATTGAAAAGACTAAAATACAGATTAATATAAAATTAGTAAAATAGAATAAAATAAAAGGGATAAAATAAAGTCAAATAAGATCGGGAAAAGCTCTCCTATAAAAGTATGTTTTAAGAAGGGACTTAAAAGAGTTCACTGACTCAGCCGACCTGATTTCCTCGGGCAGGCTGTTCCAGAGCCTCGGGGCCCTGACAGCAAACGCTCTGTCCCCTTTAGTTTTCAGTCGAGACTCTGGAACAGACAACAGACCTCTGCCCGAGGATCTCAAGGTACGTGCTGGTGCGTATGGGACTAAAAGGTCAGAAATATAACAAGGCGAGAGGCCATGAAGAGCTTTAAAAGTGATCAATAGAATTTTAAAGTCAATTCTAAAACATACTGGGAGCCAGTGTAATGAAGCTAAAATAGGAGTAATGTGGTCATATTTCTTTGTTCTGGTTAAAAGCCTGGCAGCTGAGTTCTGGACAGTCTGGAGTCAATCAATAGATTTTTGGGTTAAACAGGTGAAAAGGCTGTTGCAATAATCCAGGCGTGATGAGATGAAGGCGTGTAAAATGGTCTCGGTGTCCTTAAAAGTTAACATAGATGGAATTTTTGCTATATTTCTAAGTTGATAAAAACATGATTGAACAAGCTTTGTGGTGTGCTGCTCGAAATTTAAATTACTATCCAACCAAACACCAAGGTTCTGTGTGATTTACTAGGGAACCAGCAGATGGCAGTATTTGATTTGCCATCTGCTGAGACCCGATGACCAGGATTTCTGTTTTGTCTGAGTTCAGCTGGAGGAAATTATTTGACATCCATTTTTTAACTTCACGAAGGCAGTTGTTAAGTGAACTAGTGTTGTGTCGTTCAAAGAACGTTTTGTTCATAAGACCTAATCGTGTGTATGACTCAGGAGGAACGGGTTGTCTCAGTGAGTGATTCGTTCATTTTCACGCAAGCGTGAAGGATCTTTAACTCTTACGTTCACTTGTCACACGGCAGCTGCATGGGCTCCGTCAGCACAGGAAACAGAATTGATTAGTTCAGGACTCTCGACTGTGGGTCTGTTTGAGTCGTTCATTTGTCACGTGACAGCATCTTTCGTTCAATCGGCAGGCTGAGTGACTGCCAGCGCCGGAGAATGAGAGGCAGGTCGGCTGTCAGGTAACAGTCACTGGACTGACATTATATAGCTATTTTGTTAATTATGTGACATTTGATAAAGCATAACGTTATTACAGCGTTAGCCCTGTAAACAGCTAACAGCTGATCCAGGTCCACCAGAGAACGCAACGTAACTTTTCCTTTTTATTTACCAACAGAGCCGTGCTGTTGTTTCACAGCTCGTGACTTGTGAACAACCTGGCCGCGTTTGAGGCCGATGTGCTCATGCCTGTTTCTCTGTCTGCAGAATCAGGACCTGATGTGGCCCATTCTGCGTCCAGAACTGCCAAACTGCTGCGTTTATATAATGTTTTAATATTTTTGTTCCTCTCTCTGTGCTGGAGTTCTTTAAGAACTTGGTGGCTTGATCCAGATTATTATTAAATTGGTTGAATTTTAATAAGAGTGTGTTTTTTCATATAGTTTATCAAGCATATTACTTCAATATATTTACTGCAAATCTGATATTAATATTTTACTCATGGATAGGGACGTTAGGCTACTGTATGAATGAGCACTTCAGAGATAATGATAGTAATTATATACATAAGCCTTTATATGGCTGATCTGGTTGTATACTCAGGAAAGATTGTGAAAATGGAAGGATTTAGCCGGAGTAGTGGACTGCATATAGACAACATATTTCTGTGGTTTTTACATAGTTTGAATTTTGTTGTGGGCCCAGGGGGGTTTATTTAATGATGATATACAGTAATCAAGAGGTGAATTTGTGCATTATACTTTGTCAAATAAAGCAAGCCAGGCAGCCTTCTGTGTTTGAGCTGTTAATCGCCCACTAGAGGGCTGCAGCGCCACAATAACGAGCCTAGTTCAAATGAACCAAATGACTCAAAAAAAGATTAGTTCATTTTAATGAACGAGATTTGAATGAACGAGTCTGTCAAAAGACTCGAACTTGCCATCATTGTGTGTGAGAGAAAGTATTGGCCACGTAATGAGCAGTGAAATCTCTGTCCAGGCTTCTATTATTTTTTTATTCATTAATGTTCCCACGAAGCTCAAATTGTAGTCCAGTTTCCACAGTTGTCCGTTTTTCCTATTAAATTCAGCTGATTGCAGTAAAATGTCATAGTATATTACTCTTCAAAGGGAAATTATGAATGGGAAGTGTGTGTGTGTTTCTGTTGGGATGACTGGAAGTTACACTGAATGGATGTGGCTGTATGGACAGAATAAATGTCATATTTTGACAGAATAAATAAAAAGAAATATACTGTTACTAGTTGAATGATTGAAGCGATATACAGTTGGCTTTGTTGCTACATCGGCACGTTAAGAGCTAAAAGGATAAAAGCGTCAGCTAAATGAATAAATGTAAATGTATTCAGACCTGTCTTGAGTTGTGGCTTTGTCTTTACAACTCTGCGTAGAAGGCTGGCATCCCACAGATGTCAACAAACCAAATTATATAAACACTCTAACCCGTTTGATGTTGTAATCATACACAGACACTTACTCTGTTGCTGTTGAAACTCCGGCATTGGCTGGAGCACCGGGGACTGTTGGTATACTTGTGGAGGAGCCGGTGTGTAGGCCGGGGCCTGTTGGTATACTTGTGTAGGAGCCGGTGTGTAGGCCGGGGCCTGTTGGTATACTTGTGTAGGAGCAGGTGTGTAGGCCGGGGCCTGTTGGTATACTTGTGTAGGTGCCGGTGTGTAGGCCGGGGCCTGTTGGTATACTTGTGGAGGTGCCGGTGTGTAGGCCGGGGCCTGTTGGTATACTTGTGGACGTGCCGGTGTGTAGGCCGGGGCCTGTTGGAACGCCTGGATGGGAGGTGGAGCCTGTGCTTTTAAGGGAGCAGGAGGTGTCTCCTGTTCAGGGGACGCTGGAGCATTGGATTGTTCTGAAAGCAAAGGGAAAAGTAGGTTTGGTAAATGGACTGTATTTTGGGCGATGCCTTTCTATTCTGCCTCTTAAAGAAAGTTTTTCCTTGCATCTGTTGCCTAGTGCTTGATCATGGAAGGAATTGTTGGGTCTTGGTTAAATGGTATCACAGAGTACGGTCCAGACCTGCTCTTTTTGAAAGACGCTGTGAGATAACTGTTGTTGTTAATTGGCGCCATATACAGTAAATAAAATTGAATTGAATCTTCTTTCCGTCCAGTCAAAGCGATTAAAACTTCACATTCACCCATTCCTTCACTGATGAGCAGGCTGAGGTGCCAACTGCTCATCAGAAACAAACTAATTATGCATAATCACACACGGATGGCTATGACATAGGGAAAAATTTAGGTTCAGTGCCTTTCCCAAGGACATCTCAGCATGCAGATAAAACGACTTTGTGATATAAACACCAACATCCACATTATACCATTGATTAAAGAGATCTTGTTTAACTTACGCATCTATTGATTAAGAAGTAACCAACAATTTTTCCATTTGAAAATATAACTAATTTGAATTGACATTTAACTACATCAAATGTCCAACAGAGTTTTGTAAATTTATTCAAACAAATATCTAACCAGGAACAGAGTAGACGTCAGAGAGTCAACGCAGAGCAATGGACCAGAACTAGTTAACACCAACTGAAAGACTGTTTCCAGCAGCTACCGGAGGACCAAGAATTAGCCCTAACCCACGCCCCTTTCGAAGTTCATTGGTCAATATCTTCAAAAGGAACTGAGATATTAACAAGCCATAAGCACATTTTGATCAGCTTTGTCCCGTGATGACCCAAAGGAAATTTGGTGGCAATCAGAGCTACAGTCAATGAGATGTCAAAAATGCCAGATGGTGAAAGCCATGTGTGCTGTTTGTGTTTACCTGCTTTTAAGTCCTTCATCATGTTATTGGTCTCTATCACAATGCCTTTGATCTCTTCTACGTTGTCCTTCACCGAGAGAAGAGCTGGAGCACAAACATGTATAAATATAAATACATGCCTATATAAATATACATACACACACAAACAAATAAAAATGTTCTGCCAGGTGTTGGCTTTCCTGTCAAGTTAGGCTCGCAAGTTACTGGGTGTGTTGTGGTGTAATTTTCTGTAAGTTTCTTGGTATGTTCTGTGGTAATTTTCTGTAGGTTTCTGGGTATTTTCTTCTGCAAGTCACTGGGTATGTTCTGTGGTAATGTTCTAAGAGTTTCTGGGTATTTTCTGAGGCAATATTCTGCAAGTCACTGGGTATGTTCTGTGGTAATGTTCGGTAAGTTTCTGGGTATTTTCTAAGGTAATATTCTGCAAGTCACTGGGTATGTTCTGTGATAATGTTCTAAGAGTTTCTGGGTATTTTCTGAGGCAATATTCTGCAAGTCACTGGGTATGTTCTGTGGTAATGTTCTAAGAGTTTCTGGGTATTTTCTAAGGCAATATTCTGCAAGTCACTGGGTATGTTCTGTGATAATGTTCTAAGAGTTTCTGGGTATTTTCTGAGGCAATATTCTGCAAGTCACTGGGTATGGTCTGTGGTAATTTTCTGTAAGTTTCTGGGTAATATTCTGCAAGTCACTGGGTATGTTCTGTGGTAATGTTCTAAGAGTTTCTGGGTATTTTCTGAGGCAATATTCTGCAAGTCACTGGGTATGTTCTGTGGTAATGTTCTAAGAGTTTCTGGGTATTTTCTAAGGCAATATTCTGCAAGTCACTGGGTATGTTCTGTGATAATGTTCTAAGAGTTTCTGGGTATTTTCTAAGGCAATATTCTGCAAGTCACTGGGTATGGTCTGTGGTAATGTTCTGTAAGTTTCTGGGTAATATTCTGCAAGTCACTGGGTATGTTCTGTGGTAATGTTCTAAGAGTTTCTGGGTATTTTCTGAGGCAATATTCTGCAAGTCACTGGGTATGGTCTGTGGTAATGTTCTGTAACTTTCTGGGTATTTTCTAAGGTAATATTCTGCAAGTCACTGGGTATGTTCTGTGGTAATGTTCTAAGAGTTTCTGGGTATTTTCTGAGGCAATATTCTGCAAGTCACTGGGTATGATCTGTGGTAATGTTCTAAGAGTTTCTGGGTATTTTCTAAGGTAATATTCTGCAAGTCACTGGGTATGGTCTGTGGTAATGTTCTGTAAGTTTCTGGTTAATATTCTGCAAGTCACTGGGTATGTTCTGTGGTAATGTTCTAAGAGTTTCTGGGTATTTTCTAAGGCAATATTCTGCAAGTCACTGGGTATGTTCTGTGATAATGTTCTAAGAGTTTCTGGGTATTTTCTGAGGCAATATTCTGCAAGTCACTGGGTATGTTCTGTGGTAATGTTCTGTAAGTTTCTGGGTAATATTCTGCAAGTCACTGGGTATGTTCTGTGGTAATGTTCTAAGAGTTTCTGGGTATTTTCTGAGGCAATATTCTGCAAGTCACTGGGTATGGTCTGTGGTAATGTTCTGTAAGTTTCTGGGTATTTTCTAAGGTAATATTCTGCAAGTCACTGGGTATGTTCTGTGGTAATGTTCTAAGAGTTTCTGGGTATTTTCTGAGGCAATATTCTGCAAGTCACTGGGTATGATCTGTGGTAATGTTCTAAGAGTTTCTGGGTATTTTCTGAGGCAATATTCTGCAAGTCACTGGGTATGTTCTGTGGTAATGTTCTAAGAGTTTCTGGGTATTTTCTAAGGTAATATTCTGCAAGTCACTGGGTATGTTTTGTGGTAATGTTCTAAGAGTTTCTGGGTATTTTCTAAGGTAATATTCTGCAAGTCACTGGGTATGTTTTGTGGTAATGTTCTAAGAGTTTCTGGGTATTTTCTGAAGCAATATTCTGCAAGTCACTGGGTATGTTCTGTGGTAATGTTCTAAGAGATTCTGGGTATTTTCTAAGGTAATATTCTGCAAGTCACTGGGTATGTTCTGTGGTAATGTTCTAAGAGATTCTGGGTATTTTCTAAGGGAATATTCTGCAAGTCACTGGGTATGGTCTGTGGTAATGTTCTAAGAGATTCTGGGTATTTTCTAAGGTAATATTCTGCAAGTCACTGGGTATGTTCTGTGGTAATGTTCTGTAAGTTTCTGGGTATTTTCTAAGGTAATATTCTGCAAGTCACTGGGTATGTTCTGTGGTAATGTTCTAAGAGATTCTGGGTATTTTCTAAGGGAATATTCTGCAAGTCACTGGGTATGGTCTGTGGTAATGTTCTAAGAGATTCTGGGTATTTTCTAAGGTAATATTCTGCAAGTCACTGGGTATGTTCTGTGGTAATGTTCTAAGAGTTTCTGGGTATTTTCTGAGGCAATATTCTGCAAGTCACTGGGTATGTTCTGTGGTAATGTTCTAAGAGTTTCTGGGTATTTTCTAAGGGAATATTCTGCAAGTCACTGGGTATGTTTTGTGGTAATGTTCTAAGAGTTTCTGGGTATTTTCTGAAGCAATATTCTGCAAGTCACTGGGTATGTTCTGTGGTAATGTTCTAAGAGATTCTGGGTATTTTCTAAGGTAATATTCTGCAAGTCACTGGGTATGTTCTGTGGTAATGTTCTAAGAGATTCTGGGTATTTTCTAAGGGAATATTCTGCAAGTCACTGGGTATGGTCTGTGGTAATGTTCTAAGAGATTCTGGGTATTTTCTAAGGTAATATTCTGCAAGTCACTGGGTATGATCTGTGGTAATGTTCTAAGAGTTTCTGGGTATTTTCTGAGGCAATATTCTGCAAGTCACTGGGTATGTTCTGTGGTAATGTTCTAAGAGTTTCTGGGTATTTTCTAAGGTAATATTCTGCAAGTCACTGGGTATGTTTTGTGGTAATGTTCTAAGAGTTTCTGGGTATTTTCTAAGGTAATATTCTGCAAGTCACTGGGTATGTTTTGTGGTAATGTTCTAAGAGTTTCTGGGTATTTTCTGAAGCAATATTCTGCAAGTCACTGGGTATGTTCTGTGGTAATGTTCTAAGAGATTCTGGGTATTTTCTAAGGTAATATTCTGCAAGTCACTGGGTATGTTCTGTGGTAATGTTCTAAGAGATTCTGGGTATTTTCTAAGGGAATATTCTGCAAGTCACTGGGTATGGTCTGTGGTAATGTTCTAAGAGATTCTGGGTATTTTCTAAGGTAATATTCTGCAAGTCACTGGGTATGTTCTGTGGTAATGTTCTGTAAGTTTCTGGGTATTTTCTAAGGTAATATTCTGCAAGTCACTGGGTATGTTCTGTGGTAATGTTCTAAGAGATTCTGGGTATTTTCTAAGGGAATATTCTGCAAGTCACTGGGTATGGTCTGTGGTAATGTTCTAAGAGATTCTGGGTATTTTCTAAGGTAATATTCTGCAAGTCACTGGGTATGTTCTGTGGTAATGTTCTAAGAGATTCTGGGTATTTTCTAAGGTAATATTCTGCAAGTCACTGGGTATGTTCTGTGGTAATGTTCTAAGAGTTTCTGGGTATTTTCTAAGGGAATATTCTGCAAGTCACTGGGTATGTTTTGTGGTAATGTTCTAAGAGTTTCTGGGTATTTTCTGAAGCAATATTCTGCAAGTCACTGGGTATGTTCTGTGGTAATGTTCTAAGAGATTCTGGGTATTTTCTAAGGTAATATTCTGCAAGTCACTGGGTATGTTCTGTGGTAATGTTCTAAGAGATTCTGGGTATTTTCTAAGGTAATATTCTGCAAGTCACTGGGTATGGTCTGTGGTAATGTTCTAAGAGATTCTGGGTATTTTCTAAGGTAATATTCTGCAAGTCACTGGGTATGTTCTGTGGTAATGTTCTAAGAGTTTCTGGGTATTTTCTAAGGTAATATTCTGCAAGTCACTGGGTATGTTCTGTGGTAATGTTCTAAGAGATTCTGGGTATTTTCTAAGGTAATATTCTGCAAGTCACTGGGTATGGTCTGTGGTAATGTTCTGAGTTTCTTGGTATGTTCTGTGGTAATTTTCTGTAGGTTTCTGGGTATTTTCTGAGGCAATATTCTGCACGTCACTGGGTATGTTCTGTGGTAATTTTCTGTAGGTTTCTGGGTATTTTCTGAGGCAATATTCTGCACGTCACTGGGTATGTTCTGTGGTGATGTTCTGTTATAATGTTCTGTAAGTTTCTGGGTATGTATATGTCTGTATTTACAGTATGTGTGTATGTATATGTGTGTATACAGCATGCATAATTGTATGTATGTACTGTATGTATATGTGTATCTGTCTGTATTTACAGTATGTATGTACTGTATGTGCATCAAACTCACTTTCCTTCATCTCCTCCAGGAACTTCATATCTGCAGCTCGGTCTTTCTCATCCTCTGCCTTCCTCCTGTCCTCGCTGAAGGTCTGCTGCATGGCTAGGGCGTCAATGTTGAGCGAGAGCACGAGAGACAGAGACTCCTGACTCAGGCGCTGGTTTAGATCTGCAAAGTCACTGTCTATGGAGGAGTTTTTAACCACGCGCTTGATCCACCCAACATCCTCCATCTTCCTCATCAGATTCAGAGCGTCCTGCAGAACCTCCTCGAGCTGGACCCGTGTCTGCTGCAGATGAACAGAGTCCGACCTGACATCCTTTACTTTTTGCAGCTGTTCGTGTAAAACCGAAATCCGGGACTTCAATCGCTGCACACGCTCCTTGTGGACCTTGGGCCGGGTGCTGTGGATCTGCTTGATTAGGTTATACACGTGAGAGAAGAAACCAATAACGTCCCCAATCATGGAGGATGCCATGATGGATGGTGCTGTCTGCAGGTCTGGAAGAAAAGGTCAGTTTTTATACTTTATGAACACAAACACACACACACAGCAGATATAGACAGTGCAGACAGTGTACAGGCCATGTTACGAGCTGGACTTTAGCAGTTACATGGTAAGAATGCTTCTCAACTCATCATTACAGAAAGATTCCCACATAACTCCGAGTTTTAACTAAATATACCAGCAGATGTGCCTTTGCAGTCAGTCAGAAAGGTCTGTAGGTAGCTAAGTACATACCACAGATTCCAAGGAATGGATACTGTCTTATTAGGGCCCGAGCACGACCGTGCGAGGTCCCTATTGAATTTATAAAGATTATTAGGGCTCGAGCACGACCGTGTGTGGTCCCTATTGAATTTGCTAAGATTACTTTTTTTTTCTTTTTTTTCTGCAAAGTAAGCTCTATTTTGGGGACCTGAGCATACCCGAAAACTCACCAAACTTTGCACACTTTTTCAAAATTTTGTATTTTATGGGTTTCGCGCATGGGCGTGGCAAATTGACTCGATAGCGCCACCGAGAAAATTGAAAAAAATCAACCCCTTGTTGACGTTCAACCTACATGCACGAAATTTTATGGGGACGTATCATATCAAGACGCACAAAAAAGCCTCAAGAACCCATGCCCTAAAGTCAACAGGAAGTCGGCCATTTTGAATTTTACGGCCATTTTTGGATAATTTACAGAATGCAGGGTTACTTGTGGTTCCTAGAGTCTCCAAAAGTAGACTAGGAGCCAGAGCGTTCAGCTATCAAGCTCCTCTCCTGTGGAACCAGGTTCCAGTTTGGGTTCAGGAGGCAGACACCATCTCCACATTTAAGAGTAGGCTTAAGACTTTCCTCTTTGATAAAGCTTATAGTTAGGGCTGGCTCAGGTAGTCCTGAACCATCCCTTAGTTATGCTGCTATAGACCTAGACTGCCGGGGGATTTCCCATGATGCACTGAGTTCCTCTCTCCTCTACTTTCTCTCCCTCTGTATGCAACCTTATCCCATTATTGCATGTTACTAACACAACTTCTCCCCTTTCTGGTAGTCTTGTGCTTTCTCGTCCCTCTCCTCTCTCCTATCACTTCCTGCAGGTTCTCTGGCTCTGGAGCTGTGGAGTCTGGATCTGTGGTTGCGGGTCACCTGCTGCCCCTGTGTTCCTGCTCGACACCCTCTGCTGCAACGACTATTGTTGCTAGTCTTATTGTTATTATAATCATTAACATTACGATGGTTACCATTAACACTATTATAAATATCTGTACCATTTTTCATTCAGTCTATAGCAACATTACCTTCACTGTCTGTACCTCTGTGTGTATATTGTGTAGGCTGCCTCCCTCCCCTCTCTCTCTCCTTACATCCCTCTCTCTCTCTCTCTCTCTCTCTCTCTCTCTCTCTCTCTCTCTCTCTCTCTCTCTCTCTCTCTCCTTCACCCCCAACCGGTCGAGGCAGATGGCCGCCCACCCTGAGCCATGGTTCTGCTCGAGGTTTCTGCCTCTTAAAAGGAAGTTTTTCCTTGCCTCTGTCGCCTAGTGCTTGCTCTTGGTGGGAACTGTTGGGCTTCTGTAAATAACATCACAGAGTACGGTCTAGACCTGCTCTTTTATGAAAAGCGCTGTGAGATAACTGTTGTTGTGATTTGGCGCTATATAAATAAAATTGAATTGAATTGAATTGAATAGAACTGCGGTATAGGGAGAAGCACACGGTCAGCTGGCTGCAGCTAAATCTGGAGTGCACTCGTATTCAATTCTGTATGGTAAATTCAGTTTTAACGGAGCAGAGCGAGCTGACAGGCAGAGTTAGAGACTTTTTCTGTCCGTTTCTCTCTTTACAAAGACGCATGTTGCAGTCAGAGTCTTCTCTGAAGAGGGCAATGAAGTCTCAGTAGTACCCGATGCGAGCACCACATACAACACAATTTATCAAATTACACAACGGATATACAGTATGAAAATAAGATTAATTGGATTATACTCACAGGAAGTATAAACCTGTTACATGCGTCTATTAAAAGTAAAGTAACACAAAAATGTCAGGGAAATTACTTTACTTAGATTTCAGGACTGCAGTTGTACATTTGAAATACCTTCCTACCTTTCTGATAGGAAGCCTTCTTGAGGTGGTATAAAATATTTCTTCTTATATTCTGATTTGAGTTGTGGACAACTATGACCACATGAATTAAAAAAATTAAACATTTCACTTTAAGTCAGCTATAACATAAGTCTTGTTCATCAGACTACATGCTGTACAGTATTTGTGGACAGATTTTGTCCCAGGATTTATTATGCATTTCTTCTTCTTCGTTGCATGATTTAGAATAATAAGGTGAGAAATGGGTCTGTTCTGAGTTCATCCTGCACTGCAGCAGCTAATAAAGTCCATTTAATCCCAAAAACGCTTTTCTTTTAGGCAGGCTGGAGCAGAAAACAACTCACCTTTCTCAAGTTGTACAGTAATGTCACATGTGTATGAAGGTGGATCAAACAAGCTAATCTTAAATGTCAAAGTAGAGAGGAGCCTAGTAGGCCTATTTATTTTCATTCATTACACAATATGAATAAGCTATGCAGACAGTTGTAAAGAAAGAACATCTTTTTCTTCTGTTCTCTACTTGTTATAGTTACACAGTATTAGGGGTGTGGGCTGTATTAAAAGTATCCACTGTTCTCCCATGCTCTAACACACAGTAAAGATGAAATGTGTGCTGTTCTCACATTCTTCCTCTGTATGTACACATAAACAACAAGGCAGGGAAATATAAAAGGAATTTATTTTATTGTTTGGGTACATTATTGTTCAGTGTACATGTTCACATCTGCAACAAACTTTACGTGCTTGATAACTCTCCCACCCCGCAGACATCTACACGTCAATACCGATTTATATTCATAGCGGCAAGTGCTATGTAGCTCCACATAGGGGACACAGGAAGTGACATATAACACCTTCATGCGGCGTCGGAACCGCGTAGCAAATTCACAGCCGCACCGGCAGAGCTCCAGAATGTGCAACTCGGCCGGCTCACACGCGGATGCGCTTACAAGTGCGAGGGCCCGCCCAACGCTGCTTGCAGCTTTAATTCCATTTATTACTGCCGCACATCGCGCTGACGCTGTGAACACGACGTGGTTCTGATGGCGCTGTTTGCAAAGTGGAGGAAGAGAGAGACAATAACGAGGGACGAAGAAGAAAGAGTCCAAAGTGTGGGATTATTTCAAATTAAAAGGCCGCCGGCAAGCAAAAGTACTTCTTAAACAATGATGAATGGATGAAATAATCTGCAGAAGCTTCGAGAACTAAAATCATGGTTAGCTGCAGCCTTGATGGGTAGCGAGTTTCAGAGGTATGGTGCTTGGTCCTGAGTGCCTGGGAGGAGGGAGCAGGTCTGGGAGGTAGGAAGGGGCCTGTTATGCAGGGCTTTGTGGGTGAGGAGGAGGATTTAGTGATGAATGCGTTGGGGAACAGGGAGCCAGTGGAGATTGTGGGGGGTCACAGGAGCGTTTGTTGCAGAAAATGACCCCAGTCTCCTATATTTCATCAATGCGTATGTTTTCTAACTAGTTTTACACTGTATTCTTGTCATGTTCTCACGATCTTGATCTTGTGCAGTGTCTCGTCTCGTGGGCTATGAGTTTGGTCACACCTCTAATCTGAGCCCTTAAATGTCCCCACCACTTTCCAACGCAGAGTGAGGCCCTCGGGTGTGTGCCATGCTGTAGTGACGATGATGATTACTTCAATTAAGGGCAATGATTATAACATAATCCGTACGCTATCATAAAGTGAAATGGTCACCTACTGCTGGTCCTGCTGGTATGTGCTGCAGAAGCTCTTAGACATTGTTTGTGTAGCGAGCAGAGTTTCCTAACGCAGTCTTCACTTCAGCTTACTGTCCTGATGGCTGAGCTTATGTTGTCTGCATGGCTAATCCACCTGCTGTGAAAATGACTTGTAGGCTAATGGTACTTGAGTATGACTTGTGTACTCCATGGCCACCGCTGAGTGGGAGTGAGTACACTGACCCATGGCACATAGCCCTCAGATGGGCTAGGGGAACATTACAGTAGGTAGACATGTTATATGGAAGGACGGTGTATTGGTGCGGGGAGCCCGACTGATTTCACCGGGCTGCCTGGGCCAAAAATGCCAGGGATTTTCGGGCTCAGCCATCTCTAGGGTTTCCAGAGAATGGTCCAAGAAGTACACACAACCATAAGTAAATAAAGCAGCAAGCGCCAATGATCGGGCTCCACGAAAAATGAAGCTTTTAATATTTTCAGAGGAGACCAGATGCAGCTGATTTAACAGATTAAATTGATGAAAGAATTTGGACTCAACATCCAGCTTCTTTTTAACACAAACTTGACTTTTACAGCATCACATTGAGGTCAGAGTGGGTAAGTACATGTGTACTTGACTGGTGGGTGAAATGTTCAACCCACATGGCAAATTTGGTGTTTCCAAGGTTTAGCAGAGACTTCAAGAAGAAAGTGTCACTGGATCCAAGTAAACAGGAATACTTTGACTCCCTGTGACCTGAACAACCCTGTTGTTGTTTAGATTGGACTTAATTCGCCTGGTGAATTGAACCCTAACCCTACTGACTGAGCTACTGGTTAGAGGCTGTTCCCACACACCTTCTCACAAGTTGAGGTAGTGACGTCACATGTACCTAACTCATGTAGTTTTGTCAGTTTAAACCTAAAACACCTACAGTGAAGATGTTGGTGTGAAAATTCTGACATTTGATCCAGAACTGAGCAAAAAAGAAACCCCTCACATGTCTGTAAATATCTGATTCTATCTTTTCTTGTGACGACACTGAAGAAATGACACTTTGCTCCAGTGTAAAGTAGTGAGTGTTCAGCTTGTATAACAGTGTAAAGTAGTGAGTGTACAGCTTGTATAACAGTGTAAAGTAGTGAGTGTACAGCTTGTGTAAAAGTGTAAAGTAGTGAGTGTACAGCTTGTATAACAGTGTAAAGTAGTGAGTGTACAGCTTGTATAACAGTGTAAAGTAGTGAGTGTACAGCTTGTATAACAGTGTAAAGTAGTGAGTGTACAGCTTGTATAACAGTGTAAAGTAGTGAGTGTACAGCTTGTGTAAAAGTGTAAAGTAGTGAGTGTACAGCTTGTATAACAGTGTAAAGTAGTGAGTGTACAGCTTGTATAACAGTGTAAAGTAGTGAGTGTACAGCTTGTATAACAGTGTAAAGTAGTGAGCGTGCAGCTTGTATAAAAGTGTAAAGTAGTGAGCGTGCAGCTTGTATAAAACTTTAAAGTAGTGAGCGTACAGCTTGTATAAAAGTGTAAAGTAGTGAGCGTACAGCTTGTATAAAAGTGTAAAGTAGTGAGTCTACAGCTTGTGTAAAAGTGTAAAGTAGTGAGCGTGCAGCTTGTGTAACAGTGTAAAGTAGTGAGCGTGCAGCTTGTATAACAGTGTAAAGTAGTGAGCGTGCAGCTTGTATAAAAGTGTAAAGTAGTGAGCGTACAGCTTGTATAACAGTGTAAAGTAGTGAGTCTACAGCTTGTATAACAGTGTAAAGTAGTGAGCGTACAGCTTGTATAAAAGTTTAAAGCAGTGAGCGTGCAGCTTGTATAAAAGTGTAAAGTAGTGAGTGTACAGCTTGTATAAAAGTTTAAAGTAGTGAGTGTTCAGCTTGTAGAACAGTGTAAATCTGCTGTCCCCTCACAATAACACATCACACAGCCATTAATGTCTTAACCGCTGAGTACTTAACAAAAGTGAGTACACCCCTAAGTGAAAATATCCACATTGGGTCCCATTAGCCATTTTCCCTCCCCGGTGTCATGTGACTCGTTAGTGTTACAACCCAACCCCAACCCATAATAACAGTTTTAACAGAAGTGTAATGATAAATGAAGTGCTGAGAATGAGAATGAGTGCTGGTAGTGACGAGTTGGCATGGATTAAAGATCCTTAACTGATTGACCCAGTAATGAACAGAGAATATTGCACCATATAGGGAGCAGTTAGTGATGAAGAGTCTGTGTGTTTGACAGTCTGAGGGAGGAGTTCAATACTTTGATTTAATGTGTTTAACAAATCAGCCTCATGGAGTTTTTTAACATTAGTTTGATTTGTTTATTGCAACAAAATCACAGCAAAATGTGCACTCAAACTCACTTTACAAACGCAACACAAATTTCGGACGTGGCTTGTATGTGAAACTGCATTACACACACACAGATTTAGACTCTTTAACACACACACATACTGTATGTACCCATAATGAGATGAATCAGACTCTTACCTTACAGCTCTGAGACTAGACCAAGAGAAGAATTTCAGAGCTCACCTGCCCAGCACCCCTTCACTCCTCTCCTATGGCACAAACACTTACTGTAAGAGGATGAAAACAAGGTGGAGACAGACGCCATACAAAGAATCAGAACTAACCTGTTAAGTAGCTACCCGCCCACGAAACCATAAGCATGTTTGTGTTGATGGATGTCTAATGTATGACATCAGTGAGGACTGGCTTAATTCTTTAGACCCCCCCAGACACAGAGACACCTTTCCACAGTTACAGTTCTTCTCTGCCAGAGAACCACACAGCTCTCAGCATGATGTTCTCATAACAATGAAAGACACGAGTTTCCTTCAGATCCTCCTCCATCACCCCTGTCCCCAAATATCCAAGGACCACAGGTATGAAGGACTACAGACCTGTTGTCAACCTCACCCTTTGCGGGTGAGGAGGAAGACTTCATACTGGATGCTTTGGGGAAGATAAGAAGATAAGATAAGAGAAGAAAACCTTTATTTGTCCCACAGTGGGGAAATTGCGGTTTGCAACAGCAAAGACAAGAGCAGAGATAGATAAGTGTACAAAGTAGCATAAACAAGTGTCAGACAAGAAAGTACCATTCTTACAGTAAATAAATACAAAAAAACAAAAAAACAAAGTTAGCCTACTGTACATTAAATAAGACTAAAGGACTATGCCTTATACTGGACAGTCTCCTGCGGCATAAATAAAAACTGGTAGTATGAAAGTAGTGTAGAAGGGCAATGCACATAAGTCAGATATAGCAAACTGTATTATACAATAACTGCGCATGAATTAATAAAATTGTACTTATGATAATTGCACAAATGAAAATGAAAATTATGCACAGATATAATAATGGCACATAGGTTATATTGCACAGAGTCAACAGTGTTCATTGTACAGTCTGACGGCCGCTGGAAGGAAAGATCTGCAGTATCTCTCCTTCACACAGCGGGGATGGAGCAGCCTGTCACTGAAACTGCTCTCCAGGGCTGACAGGGTGTAGTGCAGGGGGTGCGACTCATAGTCCAGCATAGCTGTCAGTTTAGCCAGGACCCTTCTGTCTCCCACCTCCCTCACTGAGTCTAGAGGACAGCCCAGGACAGAGCTAGATTTCTTGATCACCTTGTCCAACTTTTTTGTGTCCCTCTCAGTGATGCTGCTGCTCCAGCAGACCACAACGTAGAGGATGGCTGACGCGACCACAGAGTCATAAAAAGTCTTTAGGAGGGGCCCTGTCACTCCAAACGACCTCAGTCTCCTCAGGAAGTACAGCCTGCTCTGACCCCTCTTGTACAGAGCATCTGTGTTGTGAGTCCAGGCCAGTTTGTTGTTCAGGTGAGCACCCAGGAACTTATAAGTGGCCACTCTGTCAATGACCATTCCCTGGATGTTCACCGGAGGGGGGAGGGCAGACCGCCGTCTGCAAAAGGTTCTGTGTCAGTCCTCTGTACTCTGCGTCGTCATCATCAATGATGAGGCCGACAATGGCAGAGTCGTCAGAGAACTTCTGCAGAACACAGCTGTCCGTGTTGTGTCTGAAATCTGCCGTGTAGAGGGTGAAGAGGAAGGGGGCCAAGACAGTCCCCTGGGGGGCACCCGTACTACACATGAGACATACCGACGTGCTCTCACAAACTGTGGCTGGTTCGTGAGATAGTTCAGGACCCACTGTGACAGCAGGTGGTCCACACTAGTCCTCTCCAGCTTGTCCTTCAGAAGCGTCAGCTGGATGGTGTTAAAAGCTCTTGAGAAATCAAAAGACATGATTCTCACTGTGCTCCCGGGCTTCTCCAGGTGCACGATGCTGCAGGAAGATGACAGCGTCCTCCACTCCGATGTTGGGCCTATAGGCAAACTGCAGCGGGTCCATGGAAGGGTCCACTGTGGAGCGGAGGTGTTGCAGGACCAGTCTCTCCAGCGTCTTAGACGTCGTAAGAGCCACCGGCCTGTAGCTGTTGAGGTCTTTAGGGTGCGGTGTTTTTGGCACCGGTACCACACAGGAGGTCTTCCACAGCTGTGGTACCACTCCCAGCTTCAGGCTCAGGTTGAATTTCCGCTCCATAACTCCACACAGCTGGTCTGTGCAGGACTTCCGGAGCCTGGATCTGATGCCATCTGGACCTGCTGCTTTTATCGCCTTGATCTTCCTTAGCGCCTGTCTCACCTGTGCTGCTGTGAAGGACAGGGGTGGGCAGGGGGCTCAGTGCTGGGGGCGTGAAGAAGTCTGTTTGGGGATGGGATTGGTGAGAGGTGAGGTGAGCCGGAGGTGTGAAAGACTGAGGAAGTGCATTGTCAGGGAGCCAGTGAAGATTCTGGAGGATGGGGGTGGTCACAGGAGTGGCTGAGGAGGCGGACAGCAGAGTTTTGGATGCATTGAAGTTTATTTTCAGCTTTGGCAGATAGTTGATTCGACGGGCAATGTTTTTGAGGTGAATGAAGATAGCCCTGTCCGTCTGGACGTCATCAGCATAGAAGTGGAAGCGGAGACCATGGAGTATAACATGGACCAAGTTACACATCCAAAAAGAAAGACTCACTCAATACCAATTACAATGCTTTGAACACATTTGGAACATTCTGTGGATTGCATCCACTTTGCTATTCTTCAGAGCTTAACAATGTGTCCCAGAATCCCTTGACTTGCCATGAAGGTTGCTCAGAAGGAAAACGTCCATAGGGAATACTGGTGTGAGGAGCGTCCGGACAAAAGATGAGACAGAGTTGGCATTCTGTAATACAGTAATGTAGTAACAGTAATGCAACACATCGTATTGCCCAGTCATGGAAATGCCAATTATAAAAGGAATATTTGGTATTTGGAACATTGTTGAAGCGACAGGTCACGTGACAGCCTCACATGTAATTGGAGCAGTTCGGACCGTTTATCAAAGGATGCCATAATGACTGAACAGAGACAGCTGAGTAGCAAACCAGCTCAAACAACAACTCCACTTTGGACACCTGCAAGATTTCTACAATCTCAACAAAATACTTCACTCTATAGCTTCACAAGAAAGTAGGCTGGAGCACAGAATGGACTCACAACGATGTCATCGTTGGATAATTGCAGGCCAATCACAACAACATGTTTGCATTCAAGAACAGATCACGTAGAGCTCTCCAAGTTCACACAATCATCACCTTATGGTCACAGCGGTCTGAAATAAAGTTCATCGGAAAGGAACATATTCTGAGCCGGACAAGGCCAGAAACTGCTGTTGGAGTAAAGATGCCGAATTTCACAGCGTCTTACTGACAGACGAGAGGACCTACAAGCTGAAGATTTACACAAAGAGGACAAAAGTGAGAAAATAGCCATCAAAATCTCTGTTCTAAGCCATCACTGTATGAGAAAACGTACAGTACAGTGGACAAAAGTGGACATTGGTACACAGAGATTATCTGGACAGATCCAAAGCAGATCCAAATGGACCATCAGATCCTATTGCAGAGACTGGAACATTTCATTGGCATTAAAGGAACCGCTCTAAGATGGTTTAAGTCCTATTTATCAGATCGATTTCAGTTTGTTCATGTTAACGATGAGTCCTCCATGCACGACAAAGTTAGTCATGGAGTTCCACAAGGATCTGTCCTCGGACCAATCCTCTTCACTTTATATATGCTTCCTTTAGGCAATATTATCAGGAAATATTCCATAAACTTTCATTGTTATGCAGATGATAGTCAGTTATATCTATCGATCAAGCCAGACTAAACTCATCAGTTAGCTAGTCGCCCTGGCCTCCAGCACCACTGTGAGGAATATTGGAGTTATCTTTGATCAGGACATGTCGTTTAAGTCTCACATTAAGCAAATTTCAAGGACCGCCTTTTTTCACCTACGTAATATTGCGAAAATCAGGAACATCCTGTCTAAAAATGATGCAGAAAAACTAGTCCATGCATTTGTTACTTCAAGGTTGGATTAATGCAATTCCTTATTATCAGGCTGCTCGAAAAAGTCCGTTAAGACTCTTCAGCTCATAGTACCTTACTACCCCACCAGAGCACTGCGCTCCCAGAATGCACCTGTGGTTCCTAGAGTCTCCAAAAGTAGACTAGGAGCCAGAGCGTTCAGCTATGAAGCTCCTCTCCTGTGGAACCAGGTTCCAGTTTGGGTTCAGGAGGCAGACACCATCTCCACATTCAAGAGTAGGCTTAAGACTTTCCTCTTTGATAAAGCTTATAGTTAGGGCTGGCTCAGGTGAGTCCTGAACCATCCCTTAGTTATGCTGCTATAGGCCTAGACTGCCAGGGGATTTCCCATGATGCACCGGGCCCCTCTCTCCTCTACTTTCTCTCCCTCTGTATGCAACCTCATCCCATTATTGCAAGTTACTAACACAACTTCTCCCCTTTCTGGTAGTCTTGTGCTTTCTCGTCCCTCTCCTCTCTCCTACTATCACTTCCTGCAGGTGTTTCTGGCTCTGGAGCTGTGGAGTCTGGATTTGTGGCTGCGGGTCACCTGCTGCCCCCGTGTTCCTGCTCGACACCCTCTGCTGCAACGACTATTGTTACTAGTCCTATTGTTATTATAATCATTAACATTACGACTGTTACCATTAACACTACTATAAATATCTGTACCATTTTTCATTTAGTCTATAGCAACATTACCTTCATTGTCTGTACCTCTGTGTGGATACTGTGTAGGCTGCCTCTCTCCCCGGTGTCTCGCTCTCTCTTGTCGTCTCTCTCTCTCTCTCTCTCTCCTCTGTCTCTCTCTCTCTCCTTCACCCCGAACCGGTCGAGGCAGATGGCTGCCCACCCTGAGCCATGGTTCTGCTCGAGGTTTCTGCCTCTTAAAGGAAGTTTTTCCTTGCCTCTGTCTCCTAGTGCTGCTCTTTGTGGGAACTGTTGGGCTTCTGTAATTATCATCATAGAGTTCGGTCTAGACCTGCTCTTTTATGAAAAGCGCTGTGAGATAACTGTTGTTGTGATTTGGCGCTATATAAATACAACTGAATTGAATTGAATTGAATCAGAGAACATGTCTTGGACTTCAGACAGAGCCACCCTCAGCTGACAACCTGGATGTAAATATCCCGGATACACGCACTGTACTCCTCCCATAATGAGAGAGCTACCGTGCAAAGCAGAGATTAAGGTGAGAGCAGGTGAAACCAAAAGAAAAGACAGAGATAAAAACAATGTGTGGACAGACGTCAGGACTCACCTGCTCACGCATATGAAACTACACGCTACACATATTTTCATTGGCGGGCAGATGCATGACAGAAATGAGGACTGGCTGCATGTTTCAGACACAAACAAACCAAAGAATGTTGAATGAAGGTTACAGTTCTTCTTCTCTGACTGAAACAGCTCTCTGCATGACATTCTCATAATGCTCTTTAGCTCTGTGTGAGAGTGAAAACCACATAAGGTTAACAATTTCACTTCAGATCATTTCAGCAGATCCAATTTTCCTTCAGATCCTCTTACATGATCCCTGTCCCTAAATAACCAAAGACCACAGGACTGAACTCACCCGACCCCCTTACCTCTGTGGTCATGGATATATATATACACCCACATATTAAGGCAGCTGTAACACCTGAACACCACAGTACCTGCTGCAGTTATGTAAGACTGCGTGAAAAGCTGGTGAGCACTGAAGTCTGAACAGATAGCTAATGATTAATGGTTGAAAGAAATAGAGTAAATTAATCAGTTTGAGTCATTCTTCTGTGATTTCAGCTCCTGAAATTAATTTGGATATTTGGTGCTTTCTTCTATGACAGTAAACTCCTAAAAGTAGACAAAACAAGACAGCTGACATCTTGTTAACAAGACGTCGCTGTGGGCTTTGGAGAACAAGGATCAGCATTTTTCACTATTTCCTTCAGTTTATGAACCAAACAACAAATCAGTTAATCGAGGAGATTTGCGACTATTGTGGACAATATTGAAATTTGAAAAACAAATGTTATTATGATTCTGAAAAGGAAAACACTGACATTATGAAATATTTCTCAGCTCAGACAAAGTTAAACTAACACCAGAAAGATAAATATGAACGCCAGCAGTCTGATTTAACCACGTCGTAAACAGCTTTTTAAAAGACTGGTGCATTATGACACGATACACCAGCAGCAACCACTCCGCACTTTAGAGAAACCAGATTACTTGTCTTTGTTTGTAGGATATTGCTTAGCCACTGTGCACACAAATGTGGGGGGCAACCCTCACCACTGGATGTCACTCAAACTTACACACTGAACCTCCAAACACTCCCAGTTCTTTCCATCTTTTAGCGACGCTCACTAAATCTCACTGTTGTTTCGGGGGGGGGAGAGAGAGAGAGGCCTGCTATGCCTCCTGAACCCAAACTGGAACCTGGTTCCACAGGAGAGGAGCTTGATAGCTGAACGCTCTGGCTCCTAGTCTACTTTTGGAGACTCTAGGAACCACAAGTAACCCTGCATTCTGGGAGCGCAGTGCTCTGGTGGGGTAGTAAGGTACTATGAGCTCTTTAAGATAAGATGGTGCCTGACCATTAAGAGCTTTGTAGGTAAGAAGAATGATTTTAAATTCTATTCTGGATTTTACTGGAAGCCAATGCAAAGAAGCTAAAACAGGAGAAATGTGATCTCTTTTCCTGGTTCCTGTCAGAACACGTGCTGCAGCATTCTGGATCAGCTGAAGAGTCTTAATGGACTTTTTCGAGCAGCCTGATAATAAGGAATTGCAGTAATCCAGCCTAGAAGTAACAAATGCATGGACTAGTTTTTCTGCATCATTTTTAGACAGGATGTTCCTGATTTTCGCAATATTACGTAGGTGAAAAAAGGCGGTCCTTGAAATTTGCTTAATGTGAGACTTAAACGACATGTCCTGATCAAAGATAACTCCAAGATTCCTCACAGTGGTGCTGGAGGCCAGGGCGATGCCATCCAGGGAAACTATATCTTTAGATAATACGTCACGGAGGTGCTTAAGCCCCAGAGCAATAACTTCAGTTTTATCTGAGTTTAACATTAGAAAATTACAGGTCATCCAGGTTTTAACATCCTGAAGGCACATTTGAAGTTTAGTTGAGTATCAACTGCATAACAGTGAAAGCTTATGGAATGTTTCCTGATAATATTGCCTAAAGGAAGCATATATAAAGTGGAAGGATTGGTCCGAGGACAGATCCTTGAGGAACTCCATGAGTAACTTTGGCGTGCATGGAGGACTCATCGTTAAAATGAACAAACTGAAATTGATCTGATAAATAGGACTTAAACCAGCTTAGAGCGGTTCCTTTAATGCCAATGAAATATTCCAGTCTCTGCAATAGGATCTGATGGTCAATGGTATCAAATGCAGCACTAATATCTAATAAAACCAGTACAGAGACAAGTCCTTTGTCTGATGCAATAAGGAGGTCATTAGTAATTTTCACCAGTGCTGTCTCTGTGCTATGATGAGCTCTAAATCCTGACTGAAAATCCTCAAATAAACTATTGCTCTGTAGAAAGTCACACAGCTGTTTAGCAACTGCTTTCTCCAGAACCTTAGAGAGAAATGGAAGGTTAGATATAGGTCTATAGTTGGCTAAAACATCCGGATCAAGTTTGGGCTTTTTCAGAAGAGGTTTAATTACAGCTACTTTAAAGTACTGTGGTACATAGCCTGTTGATAAAGATAGATTGATCATATCTAGTATAGAGGTGCTGACTAAGGGTAAAACATCTTTAAGCAGCCTAGTCGGGATGGGGTCTAAGAGGCAGGTTGATGGTTTAGATGAAGAAATTATTGAAGTTAGTTGGTAAAGATTGAGGGAAGTAAAACAGTCTAAACATGTATCTGGTTCTACAGCTGTTTCTAAGGTTCCTGAGTTAAGAGATAAGTTGGTGCCAGTTGAGGGCAGGTCTTGGTGAATTTTGTCTCTAATAGCTAGAATTTTATCATTAAAGAAGCTCATGAAGTCGTAACTACTGAGAGCTATGGGAATACTTGGCTCAATAGAGCTGTGACTCTCTGTCAGCCTGGCTACAGTGCTGAAAAGAAACCTGGGGTTGTTCCTATTTTCCTCTATTAATGACGAGTAGTACGCTGCTCTGGCATTACGGAGGGCCTTCCTATAAGTTTTAAGACTATCTTACCAAATTAAACGAGAATTTTCCACTTTGGTGGAACGCCAATTCCTCTCAAGTTTCTGCGATATTTGCTTTAATTTGTGAGTTTCAGTATTATAGCATGGAGCTAACCGTCTTTGTTTTAGTATTTTCTTTTTTAGAGGGGCTACAGAGTCCAGTGTCATTTGCAGTGAGCCTGCAGCACTATCAACAAGATGATCGATTTGGGAGGGACTGAAATTAGCATAGGAGTCCTCCATTACTTTGTGACTAGATAATGTATTTAGAGCTGATGGAATCGCATCCTTAAATTTAGCTACAGCACTATCAGACAGACATCTTGTAGTTCAGCAATACAAACTCAAGAGTTATCAAACAGTGGTCGGATAAAGAGGGATTCTGTGGAAATACATTAAATGTTCAATTTCAATACCATACACCAAAACAAGGTCGAGGGTGTGGTTAAAACAGTGAGTCGGTTCATGAACACTCTGAGAGAAGCCAATGGAATCTAACAGAGAGATAAACGCAGTACTAAAGCTGTCATTCTCAACATCCACATGAATATTAAAATCTCCTACAATAATAACTTTGTCCGTTTTAAGGACTAAAGTTGACAAAAACTCTGCAAATTCAGATAAGAATTCAGAGTACGGGCCAGGTGCTCGGTACACTATAACGAAGAGAATTGGTTGCAGTGATTTCCAACTTGGGTGCGAAAGACTAAGAACAAGACTTTCAAATGAGTTATAGTTTAGTTTAGGTTTAGAGCTGATTAGTAGGCTAGAGTGGAAGATAGCTGCAACTCCACCTCCTCGGCCTGTGCCTCGAGGAATGTGAGTATTAATATGACTGGGAGGGGTGGATTCATTTAGGCTAACATATTCTCCATCACCCAGCCAGGTTTCAGTAAGACCAAATAAATCAATATCATAATCTGATATTAGTTCATTTACTAGTACACCTTTAGAAGAGAGAGATCTGATGTTTAAGAGTCCACATTTAACTCTCCTATTCGTTTGCACTATTGCTCTTGTGGTTTTAATTTTTATGAGGTTTTTATGCACAGCTCCTCTTCTGTTTACCTTTTTAAATAATTTCGATGGTCGGGGGGCAGACACCGTCACTATAGGATTTTCACTAAGTAACTCCTGAAATGGAGGAGCAGAGAAGTGTGTTAGACTGCGACTCTGCGTGGGGTTTTGGGTGGGTAACTGCTGAAAAAGAAGGGCAGAGAAGTGTGTTAAACTGCGACTCTGCCTCCTGGTCTCAACTCTGGGTTGTCATGGATTTGGTCCACTAATAAACTTGGCCAGATTTCTAGAAATGAGAGCTGCTCCTTCCCAAGTGGGATGGATGCCGTCTCTCCGGATCAGACCAGGTCTTCCCCAGAAAGTCTGCCAATGATCAACAAAGCCCACATCGTTTGCTGTACACCACCTCGGAATGTGTCTGTTTCCATGGAAAGGATTAAACAAAGAACGGAAGTACAACAAACTGCTGTCTTTAGCTTGATTTATTAAAGGAGAAAACAGAGAAGAACATGAAAGAAGCAGCAGCTGCACAGAAGTGCTGAAGAGGTTTCCAGGTGTGCTGTGAGCCCTCCTGGTCAAAGAAAGGTGTGATCATCTGTTTCTCCCAAAGCCAGTCACCATCAGGTGATTTTCATTTACTTATTTAGCTGAAATTGATTATCCCAACAGAAACATCATGTTGCCTTAATATCTGGAGAATGAACAACGTGTGTGTGTTGACCACTACATCCTCTTGTGGATACCGAGGCTGACGTTGCATTTGCTGCAGTAATGATGAGCATCTTTGCATCTGTCCACAAAGAAGGGGATGACACAGCAGCCGCACCACAGCCTGAGAGAGAGAGATCCATTTACAAGTGGTTCTCCTGTACAGCTCATCCTAAACAACTCAACTCGTGATTTTAATTAACACAATTACATCACAAAGACCCAGGAAAACACTAACCAAAACTAAAGGTAGTTAACATTCGTCCTAAGCCTGTGCTCAAATTACACGGGTTGTCTTTGTTTCTTCCTGTTAATAACAAGAACCTGAATAACGATAACAGATTAAACAGAGCATCTTTCAGCCCACAAAGGTCAATAATAAGCTGAACCAGTCAGTTGAGGTCAAAGGCCCCGCCCCCCCACCCTGCTGTCTTAGTAACCGTAACCATAACATATATCAGCTAGGACCCCCAATATTCAAACATGGAAATACATCTGTAGTAATGACGGCTGTGTGTGTGTGTTACCCGAACACAAGGCAGAGTCCACAGATTATCCAGGCCAAGATCCCACTTTGATACACCACCCTGGTTTCGATCCGCTGTCCACAGTTCTTGCAGGTGGTCACGGTGGGGACATCACCCAGGTCCCCAGAACAAATCATTACCTGGACTGAGGCACACAACGGTACACAGGTTTCAAACACACTCTTTATTGATCCTGATGCGGAAATGCAGGATCATCCCAATCAGGAGCAGAGGGCAGCCACTGTGCACGGCGCCTGGACAGCATTTACAGCGTCACAACACACACACACGCACACAGCCGTTCTAAAAATCTGCCTCCATAACATTTATCCATCAGTCTGTGATCCGTAAAAACATGGAGATTTTAATCTAGAACATGTTTTTCTACTAGTTTTCATCATTTGTTTTCTACAAAATGTCCTTACTGCTAAACATGCACTTAATAACCTGCTGTGGAAATGGCACCTAACTAGCTCTGCTGTGTTAGCTTTGACTCTTAGCATCTAGCAATGTGCTCACTCCCTGATGTGTGCTTCCTTCAGAAATGACACTGAGTGGCTGTGAAACTTTTACTAGAGTGCAGTGGGGAGGACGGAGTGTGGGACAGATTGGGATGATCATTTTAACATGGTGCAGAGTCACATTTATATGTTCTTGCTTCATGTCAACATTGAGACAGAGAGGAATACTTTTAATTAAATTACATGTTTTAGGTCAAGATGTGTTCTAGTACTGTGTATGTCTGTGAAGGATTTCAGTCATCCAAAGAATGTTAAAGTCAAGGGCAACTACCTGTCATATATTTATCGAGCATCATATTTTAAATAATATAAAGTGTTACTCTGGATTTCTTCATCGTTGTAAAGTAACGCTGAGACTCTTACCGGGCTGCGGTTGGCTCATTTGCACTGGCTGAGGAGTCATTTGGATCACGGGACCCTGTTGAGCCTGGTACTGGACCTGTTGAAGAGGAGCCTGCTGGACAGGCTGTAGTGGGGGCGGGGCCTGTGCAGCGTAGGGAGGAGGAGACTGGGGACTGGTCTGGAGAGGGGGACCACCTAGGTTTGAGGAGAAGGGGGAGACATTAGGAAGAGAGACTTTTACTGATCTTTTACTGATCTACTGTGTGTTGCATTATTATCAGGTTCCCCTGAAAAAGTAGCTCGTTAGAGGGTTCCTTATCTGACCGTCCTTAATAGGCCTTCATCTCAGGACAGCTGGTCCCCCCTCCTGGCCACCCTGAGACTGCTGCGTGATATTAAGTCCCCTGGTTCTTCCCTGGCTGTCTGCACTCTGTATGTCTGTCTGAGCCTTTGCGGAGAATAAAACCCTTGAAGACGTCTGGATTGGACTCTTTATTTCAGAAGACTCACTAAAGGACATATTTCCATTAGACCTGAGAGCTGCTATGCTATGTGAAGCTCTAACCCACAAGGTGTGAGGTGAATCTCCACGAGGTAAATGTCACCACAGTGGAGCTCCGGCAGCAGCTGCTGCTGAATCTGGGCCCCCAGAGCCCAGCACTTTGTGTTCCAGATCCAGATCATCGTAGGACATTTAACGGCACTGCTGCGTCTCTGCGGGGAGTCCAGTGTGAGCCATTTCTAAAGGTTGTGCAGGGTTGTTGATTGACATAACGCTGTCTCTGCCGCTGCAGCAGGTGCCGTGTCCTCAGCCAGACAGCAGTCAGTGCCTATTGTGACGCGAGTTTGAAATTCACCAGAGCCGGTCATGCAGAACAGGAAGAAGAAAGAAGCTCTGTTTAAACCAAGAAGAAGCTTAAATACTAAGTTAGGGGCGTGGCCACTGTGAGTGACAGGCGAGTCACTGCTGTCTGTCTGCTGGAGGCCGGGGCTGGTTCACTTTATGTGTTAAATGATCCGTCATCAGTGTTTGTGTATGAGTTAGCTCGCTAACTTCACACATGTGCATTTACACAGCTGTGTGTGTCACTGTGTGCTACGGTGAGTGTTACAGTGTGTCACTGTGTGTCACTGTGTGTTACAGTGTGTTACAGTGTGTTACAGTGTGTTACAGTGTGTCACAGTGTACTTCGGTGTGTGTTACAGTGTGTCACTGTGTGTTATAGTGTGTTACAGTGTGTCACTGTGTGTTACAGTGTGTTACAGTGTGTCACTGTGTGCTTCGGTGTGTGTTACAGTGTGTCACTGTGTGTTATAGTGTGTTACAGTGTGTCACTGTGTGTTACAGTGTGTCACTGTGCTACGGTGAGTGTTACAGTTTGTTACAGTGTGTCACAGTGTGTCACTGTGTGTTACAGTGTGTTACAGTGTGTTACAGTGTGTCACAGTGTGTCACTGTGTGTTACAGTGTGTTACAGTGTGTTACAGTGTGTCACTGTGTGTTACAGTGTGTTACAGTGTGTCACAGTGTGTCACTGTGTGTTACAGTGTGTTACAGTGTGTTACAGTGTGTCACTGTGTGTCACTGTGTGTTACAGTGTGTTACTGTGTGCTTCGGTGTGTGTTACAGTGTGTCACTGTGTGTTACAGTGTGTTACAGTGTGTCACTGTGTGTTACAGTGTGTTACAGTGTGTCACAGTGTGTCACTGTGTGTTACAGTGTGTCACAGTGTGCTTCGGTGTGTGTTACAGTGTGTTACAGTGTGTTACAGTGTGTCACTGTGTGTTACAGTGTGTTACAGTGTGTCACTGTGTGCTTCGGTGTGTGTTACAGTGTGTTACAGTGTGTCACTGTGTGTTATAGTGTGTTACAGTGTGTTACAGTGTGTTACAGTGTGTCACTGTGTGTTACAGTGTGTCACTGTGTGTTACAGTGTGTCACTGTGCTACGGTGAGTGTTACAGTTTGTTACAGTGTGTCACAGTGCGCTTCGGTGTGTGTTACAGTGTGTCACTGTTTGTTATAGTGTGTTACAGTGTGTTACAGTGTGTCACTGTGTGCTTAGGTGTGTGTTACAGTGTGTCACTGTGTTACAGTGTGTTACAGTGTGTCACTGTGTGTTACAGTGTGTTACAGTGTGTCACTGTGTGCTTCGGTGTGTGTTACAGTGTGTCACTGTGCTACGGTGAGTGTTACAGTTTGTTACAGTGTGTCACAGTGTGCTTCGGTGTGTGTTACAGTGTGTCACTGTGTGTTACAGTGTGTTTCAGTGTGTCACTGTGTGCTTCGGTGTGTGTTACAGTGTGTCAATGTGTGTTACAGTGTGTTACAGTGTGTCACTGTGTGCTTCGGTGTGTGTTACAGTGTGTCACTGTGTGCTTCGGTGTGTCACTGTGTGCTTCGGTGTGTGTTACAGTGTGTCACTGTGTATTACTGTGTGATACAGTGTATGTCACAGTGTGTCACTGTGTGCTTCGGTGTGTGTTACAGTGTGTCCCTGTGTGTTACAGTGTGTCACTGTGTGTGTTACAGTGTGACAGTGTGTCACTGTGTGTGTTACAGTGTGACAGTGTGTCACTGTGTGTGTTACAGTGTGTCACTGTGTGCTTCGGTGTGTGTTACAGTGTGTTACAGTGTGTTACAATGTGTTACAGTGTGTCACCGTGTGCTTCGGTGTGTGTTACAGTGTGTTACAATGTGTTACAATGTGTTACAGTGTGTTACAATGTGTTACTTTGTTTTACAGTGTGTTACGATGTGTTACAGTGTGTTACAGTGTGTTACAATGTGTTACAGTGTGTTACAGTGTGTTACAGTGTGTTACTTTGTTTTACAGTGTGTTACAATGTGTTACAGTGTGTTACAGTGTGTTACAATGTGTTACAGTGTGTTACAATGTGTTACAGTGTGTTACAATGTGTTACAATGTGTTACAGTGTGTTACAATGTGTTACAGTGTGTTACAATGTGTTACAGTGTGTTACAGTGTTTCACTGTGTGAGTTACAGTTTGTCTTACAGTGTGTCACCGTGTGCTTCGGTGTGTGTTACAGTGTGTTACAGTGTGTTACAATGTGTTACAGTGTGTTACAATGTGTTACAATGTGTTACAGTGTGTTACAATGTGTTACAGTGTGTTACAATGTGTTACAGTGTTTTACAGTGTGTCACTGTGTATTACAGTTTATCACTGTGTGTTACAATGTGTTACAGTGTCTTACAATGTGTTACAGTGTGTCACCGTGTGCTTCGGTGTGTGTTACAGTGTGTTACAATGTGTTACAGTGTCTTACAATGTGTTACAGTGTGTCACAGTGTACTTCGGTGTGTGTTACAGTGTGTCACTGTGTGTTACAGTGTGTTACAGTGTGTCACTGTGTGCTTCGGTGTGTGTTACAGTGTGTCACTGTGTGTTACAGTGTGTCACTGTGCTACGGTGAGTGTTACAGTTTGTTACAGTGTGTCACTGTGTGTTACAGTGTGTTACAGTGTGTTACAGTGTGTCACAGTGTGTCACTGTGTGTTACAGTGTGTTACAGTGTGTCACTGTGTGTTACAGTGTGTTACAGTGTGTCACAGTGTGTCACTGTGTGTTACAGTGTGTTACAGTGTGTTACAGTGTGTCACTGTGTGTCACTGTATGTTACAGTGTGTTACTGTGTGCTTCGGTGTGTGTTACAGTGTGTCACTGTGTGTTACAGTGTGTCACTGTGTGTTACAGTGTGTTACAGTGTGTCACAGTGTGTCACTGTGTGTTACAGTGTGTCACAGTGTGCTTCGGTGTGTGTTACAGTGTGTTACAGTGTGTTACAGTGTGTCACTGTGTGTTACAGTGTGTTACAGTGTGTTATAGTGTGTTACAGTGTGTCACTGTGTGTTACAGTGTGTCACTGTGCTACGGTGAGTGTTACAGTTTGTTACAGTGTGTCACAGTGTGCTTCGGTGTGTGTTACAGTGTGTCACTGTTTGTTATAGTGTGTTACAGTGTGTTACAGTGTGTCACTGTGTGCTTAGGTGTGTGTTACAGTGTGTCACTGTGTTACAGTGTGTTACAGTGTGTCACTGTGTGTTACAGTGTGTTACAGTGTGTTACAATGTGTTACAATGTGTTACAGTGTGTTACAATGTGTTACAGTGTGTTACAATGTGTTACAGTGTTTTACAGTGTGTCACTGTGTATTACAGTTTATCACTGTGTGTTACAATGTGTTACAGTGTCTTACAATGTGTTACAGTGTGTCACCGTGTGCTTCGGTGTGTGTTACAGTGTGTTACAATGTGTTACAGTGTGTTACAATGTGTTACAGTGTCTTACAATGTGTTACAGTGTGTCACAGTGTACTTCGGTGTGTGTTACAGTGTGTCACTGTGTGTTACAGTGTGTTACAGTGTGTCACTGTGTTTTACAGTGTGTTACAGTGTGTCACTGTGTGTGTTACAGTGTGTCACTGTGTGTGTTACAGTGTGACAGTGTGTCACTGTGTGTGTTACAGTGTGTCACTGTGTGCTTCGGTGTGTGTTACAGTGTGTTACAGTGTGTTACAATGTGTTACAGTGTGTCACCGTGTGCTTCGGTGTGTGTTACAGTGTGTCACTGTGTGTTATAGTGTGTTACAGTGTGTTACAGTGTGTCACTGTGTGTTATAGTGTGTTACAGTGTGTTATAGTGTGTTACAGTGTGTCACTGTGTGTTACAGTGTGTCACTGTGTGTTACAGTGTGTCACTGTGCTACGGTGAGTGTTACAGTTTGTTACAGTGTGTCACAGTGTGCTTCGGTGTGTGTTACAGTGTGTCACTGTTTGTTATAGTGTGTTACAGTGTGTTACAGTGTGTCACTGTGTGCTTAGGTGTGTGTTACATTGTGTCACTGTGTTACAGTGTGTTACAGTGTGTCACTGTGTGTTACAGTGTGTTACAATGTGTCACTGTGTGTTTCGGTGTGTGTTACAGTGTGTCACTGTGCTACGGTGAGTGTTACAGTTTGTTACAGTGTGTCACAGTGTGCTTCGGTGTGTGTTACAGTGTGTTTCAGTGTGTCACTGTGTGCTTCGGTGTGTGTTACAGTGTGTCAATGTGTGTTACAGTGTGTTACAGTGTGTCACTGTGTGCTTCGGTGTGTGTTACAGTGTGTCACTGTGTGTTACAGTGTGTCACTGTGTGCTTCGGTGTGTGTTACAGTGTGTCACTGTGTATTA